CGCCGAGTCGATCGAGCACGCGACTGGCTCTGGGGGCGGGGCTTGCGGGGTGGGAGAGCCTGGGGAGATCAGGCGGACTGAGTGGGCGTGGCTTGTGGACGAGGGTGTGGCTCACTGTTGATGGAGGCGGGGCTCTGTGAATGGGCGGAGCTTGTGGGTGAGGCGAAGCCACCGGCCGTTGCACGTGAGGGCGGAGTCTATACACCTAACCCTTCCGTCGCCCTGAGGCGCTGCCTGGCTTGGCGCATGCGCGGTGCGGGTCGCTCCCTGTGACGTAGCTTGTTTGTGTGCCGGGTGTGCGTGTGCCGTCAGTTGCTGTGGTGTTCGGCAGACTGTTACCGGGGCAACGCGGAGGCGGGAGACGCGGAGCCAGAGTGGCACCGTGGCCGGGCTGGCGCGAGAGGCCTCGGGATGCAGCTGCGGCACGTGCGGACGCTGCTCACCCCCCAGGTCAGCCCCCGCCTCCCGGGCAGCTGCGGGCGGGCGGGACCCAGGAGTCCGGGCGCGTGAGGGGCAGAGGCGGCCTGGCGGGTCGGGGCGTGGGGATAGTTTCACACACGTCACAACGGGCCTGTGGAACTGCCTGCCACAGGACGTGCGTTCTCCGAGGGGTCCATCCAGAGCCATCAGAGCAAATCCCAGCGCTCAAACCAGAGCTCGCGGTGGGCTGCGAGCCCTCCTGCTCCAGGGCGGGGCTGGGGGAACCTTTCCCTGGGGCAGGGGGCCCCTCATGGCCACTGGGGGGATCTGCACCTTCCCCTAAAGCAGGTGGTGCTGGCCCCTGGCGGAGAGGAGATACTGTGGACTAGATGGACAAATGCAAAGTAATGCACATTGGAAAACAATCCCAACTGGTTTCAGAGGAGCAGCCGTCTTAGTCTGTATCCGCAAAAAGAACAGGAGTACTTGTGGCACCTTAGAGACTAACACATTTATTTGGGCATATGCTTTCCTGAGCTAAAACCCACTTCTTCCGATGCATAGAATGGAACATATAGTCAGGAGATCTATACACATACAGAGAACATGAAAAGGTGGAAGTTGCCCTACCAACTCTAAGAGGCTAATTAATTAAGATGAGCTATAATCAGCAGGGGGAAAAAAACTTTTGTAGTGATAATCAAGATGGCCCATTTCAGACATCTTGTGAGGCTACTTAACATGGGAAAATAAATTCATTTTGTGTAATGACCCAGTCACTCCCAGTCTCTATTCAAGCCCCAGTTAATGGTATCTAGTTTGCAAATTAATTCCAGTTCAGCAATTTCTCATTGGAGTATGTTTTTGAAGCTTTTCTGTTGCAAAATTGCCACCTTTAAGTCTGTTACTGAGTGACCAGAGAGGCTGAAGTGTTCTCCTACTGGTTTTTGAATGATATGATTCCTGATGTCAGATTTGTGTCCATTTATTCTTTTGTGTAGAGACTGTCCGGTTTGGCCAATGTACATGGCAGAGTTGGCAATTACAACTATACATATAAAATGATGGGGTCTAAATTAGCTGTTACCACTCAAGAAAAGAGGTCTTGGAGTCAATGGCTATTAGCCAGGCTGGGCAGGGATAGTGTCCCTAGCCTCTGTTTGCCAGAAGCTGGGAATGGGCGACAGGGGATGGATCACTTGATCATTACCTGTTCTGTTCATTCCCTCTGGGGCATCTGGCATTGGCCACTGTTGGAAGACAGGATACTGGGCTAGATGGACCTTTGGTCTGACCCAGTATGGCCGTTCTTATGGACCCTGGTCCGGTCGAGACTGGCAGTGGCTGTGTTTTCTTCCAGGATGGTGCTGCAAAGGTCACCTGCATGGCTTGGTCCTACAACAATGCCAAGTTTGCTGTCTGCACTGTAGACAGGGTCGTGCTTCTGTATGATGAACATGGAGAGAGACGGGACAAATTTTCCACCAAGCCTGCTGATGCAAAGGTAAAGAGATTGTTTCTTTGCTTCTGTGTAACTGGGCACCCTACCCTCTTGGTCTGTGAGGTACGGATACTTTGCATGCTGCTATGCAGGGCAGTTTTTTGGCAGTAGCAGAGCAACTTGTAAGTTGCTCCATACTTTTCAGAGGGCTCATAACAGCTTGAAATGCTACACCACGTTTTGCATAGCCCCAAAGCACAGCCTCAAATGCTGCTCCCATCAGAGTACAACTACATGGCCGAGACTGTTCCTATGTTGTTGTAAAGGGGACAGGGGAGGGAATGCTTAAGCAATATTCTGTATAATTATACCATCCCCTCCTTCCTGGACTTCAGCTTAACTCTTTGTTGAAACAGAGACCAAAGTTCTGTCTTGTCAAAACTTTTCAGAAAGCATGACACAGAGTTAGACCATAGAGAGACTACTGTACACTTTCTTAGTAAAACAAACAATGCACACGAAACATATTGTATATAGTATAAAGTATTGTAAATATTTTTTGGAATACCAGGAATAACTTTTTAACAAAACTATTAAACAATAAATCTACTGATTTTCCTTATACAGATGTTTCCCCTTTTGTTTTTGTTGCAAACATTCAAATATAAGGTATTGACAATTTTTGTTATACTTTAGCACACACATAGAATAGAATCTTAGAATATCAGGGTTGGAAGGGCCTCAGGAGCAGGGCTTTGGAGCGGAGCCTGGAGCTGGAGCGCGGACCAGTAGGTTTTTGCCCGGAGCTGGAGCGGAGCCCGAGTGGAGCAATTCAAAAATATGATTGCTCCAAATCCCTGCTCAGGAGGTCATCTAGTCCAACCCCCTGCTCAAAGTGGGACCAATCCCCAAAACACATTCTCTTCTGAACTCTCAGAGATGATTTTTCAGTCTTTATAATATGATCATAGTGTGTACTGTGTGTCAACTGGACTTCTCAGAGCTTGAGAAATGGTAACTTTTCAGTCCTTTCAAATGCTTCACAACCGTGTCAGCACACAAACAGCCTGGAGATATCTACAGCTAGCTTGCATTCCAGCATAGCTGACTGGTCCTCTTGGTGGCTGGTGAAACAGAAGTCTGTAGCCTGTACCCAAAATGGTACAGGGGTTAGATCAGAATATAAAATACCAATTTCATAAGAACATAAGAATGGCCATACTGGGTCAGACCAATGGTCCATCTAGCCCAGTAACTTCTCTTCTGACAGTGACCAGTGCCAGATGATTCAGAGGGAATGAACAGAATAGGGAAATTATCAAGCAATCCATCCCCTGTCATCCAGTCCAAGCTTCTGTCAGTCAGAAGTTTAGGGACACCCTGAGGATGGAGTTGTGTCTCTGACCATCTTCATTGAATCATAGGACTGGAAGGGACTTCAAGAGGTCATCTAGTCCAGTCCCCTGCACTCATGGCACCACTAAATATTATCTAGACCATCCCTGACAGGTGTTTATCTAACATGCTCTTATGCCCTATTTATGATCTATTTAAATAAGTGGTATTCTATTATTGTTTAACAGTGCAATTAATTGTGATTATTTTTTTAAATCTTGGAATTAATCGCGATTAATTTTTTAAATCGTTTGACAGCCCTAAAATAAAGTTAAAACCCTACTGGTGCCAAATTAACAAACTATATCAGATTCAAGCCAAGTTTCTCACCATGTGCTTTCAGCAGTCTTACTGACCAAACCCTCTAGGTCAGAACTCCTTCCTTCAGAATCCAATGAAGGCTTCCTTTGCTACTTCAGGTGTAGAGAATGTGATGGGCAAGGGAAGAGAGAGGGGTATGTTGGGGTGTTCTCCTTTCCTTTTTATAGTTTCAGTCCCCCCTTTTGTAAAACATTTCTAGCTGGGTACCAGGATACAAAAAGCCTATGCGGAAGGATGTTCCCTGCTGCTTTTTCTCATCTATTTGAGCTTCCTGTGTTTCCCCTTCCTGCTTGATGACTCTGTTTACTGCAATTAAGCAGAGCACACATTCCTTTGTTTAGGACAGACCTATTTGCCAACTTCTGCTTGGGGAGAGCTGTGATTTGGAACATATGTTAATAACATCATACTGGAAAATCTTATATCTTCACATAAAATGTTGCCACACATATTTTTCCGGGACAATAGTGACCAGCAAATTATGAGTTTTCAAATGATGCTTCACAAGGCATACTTTGTACAAAGATTATTACAATAGTGTTTAGGGCTTGGACCCAGGGATACATTCTGTCACACCTAGTATGACTGTTCTTATATCCAGTGTATGTACCATCCACCTACCTGTGAGTGTGTATACCTGTGTGTGTGTTTAAGGGCTGCCACTGTGAGAATGCATGCACCTGTGCATGTTTGAGTATGCATGCTTTTGTATGTGGTCTGGCAGTGGTGTTTGGCCATGTGCACTCGTGGGAGTAAGCATGTGCTGCTGTGTGCATGAACACAGCAATAGGGAGCCATATCTCTAATTGTCTAGCATGCATCCAGTGAACAACTTGTACAGAAGGAGAAATCAGACTGAGCTAGCAGGTTACCTAATCCTTCAGCTGGCTCTGCTGGGCTGGGGTATCTCACTCACACTGACCCAACCTCATTCCATAGATCCCAAGGCCAGAAGGGACCACTGTGATCGTGTAGTCTGACCTCCTGTATAACACGGGCTATAGAACTTCCCCAAACTAATTCCTAGGACGTAGCTTTTAGAAAAACATCCAATCTTGATTGGAAAATTGTCAGTGATGGAGAATCCACCATGACCCTTGATAAGTTCCAGTGGTTAGTTACTCTCATTAACCTCCCTGCTAGACATTGTATATAGCAGCAGTAACCCACAGCCAGGTGCCTGGCCACACTAGAGCAGTGTAGTCCATAACTGCAGGAAGCTCACACCATGGAGGTGGGATGGGAATGGGATCAGCTTGTATATTATATGGGCCTTTACACCACTGAATGGGTTAACCTGTGACCCTTACTCTGGGTCTGTCTTGAGGTTCTTTTGGGACATGTTTTATTAACCTCACCCTCGGTCCATGCTTCCTCCCTTCTCCTCTCCCCAGTATGGCAGGAAGAGCTACATGGTGAAAGGCATGGCGTTCTCTCCTGACTCCACCAAAATCGCCATTGGACAAACAGACAACATCATTTACGTCTACAAGATCGGAGAGGAATGGTGAGGCCCTCAGTATATCATCCCTGTGTGTGTGGTGCCATGTCTGTGGTGCCATGCACCTGTGTGTGTGGTGCCTCCTTTCTGCCAATACCGCAGGCTGCTTTGGAAATGCACAATGTGTGCTTCATGCCCAGGATTTTTGCCCTGGTGTTCAGACAGATTTCACTCTACACTAGCCCTCACCTCCCCTTCAAATCATACCTTACCCAACCCTGAACTGCGGTCCCCTGTTACACTGGTTACACTGAGTGGTTTTGTTGAACAGCACAAAGGTTCTTCAAGTACTACCTGCCAGATCTCTTCTGCAGGTGTGTGCCAGCCGGAGGTCTGGAGGAGCAGGCTATAGGGCCTTTGCACACCCTGCCTACCTCTGACTTTTGCCAGGGCCTTATAAGGAGTGCAGACGTGACTGCTCCTCAGTTCCTTCTGGGGACAGTTGGGGCAATAGGAATTCAGCTCCCTTCTATGAAAGTTTGGCTTTTTTCAATGTCTGTCATTCCTATAGTAGTTAGAGTTAGGGATATTGAGCCCCATCAGGTATATTGTTTTGGCTCATGGCTTGCTTGTGCCTTTCCTGCTCCACTCCGGGCTGTACTAATGTGGCAGGAGTCAAATCCCTTCATTCTCAAGCTGTGGCCTCCTGCAAATCAAATGTAAGTCACCATGTTCTCCTATGTATGCTGAGGTGAGTGGGGAGTGAGGTAATGGGCAGTGTGCACAGCCCCAATGGACATTGCTGTTCAGAAGGTCAGTGCTGATGCACCCAGGACACATACATCCCCTGCAGTATGGATCTGGGGCGGCCCTTGCCTACAAGAACTACAGTTGTTCTGGGAAGTAACTGTTTTAAAGGCCTGCTTCCCCCTCCCCCTAATGGTCTGCTCCCCCTGCATGTGGTTCTAGGGAGCTGTTTGGGCACCACTTTATCCCTCTCCAGGGAGATGTTCCTGCTGCCGCATGAAAGCTCCTGCACAAAGTAAGAGAATTCTGTGCCTGCTCAGTACCCAGACTCACTGCCCTGAGAACATATAGCAGGGGAGGGGCCCAAACAAGGGCCTGTTTCGCAAGACTGAAATTTATGGCAATAACTATAAATTAGCAATTTATAAAATAAATTCATAGATTCCGAGGCCAGAAGGTACCATTGTGATCATCTAGTCTGACTTCCTGTATAACACAGGCCATGGAACGTCCCCAAAATAATTCCTAGAGCAGATGTTTTAGAAAAACATCCAGTCTTGATGGAAAAATTGCCTGTGATAGATAATCCACCATGACACTTGGTAAATTGTTCCAGTGGTTAATTACTCTCATTTAAAACTTTAGGCCTTATTTCCTATCTGAATTTGTCTAGCGTCAGCTTCCAGCCATTGGATCTTGATAGATCTTTCTCTGTTAAATTGAAGAGCCCATTATCAAATACTTGTTCCCTGTTAAAGTACTTACAGACTATAGTCCAGACATCTCTTAACCTTCTCTCTGTTAAGATAAATAGATTGAGCTCTGTGAGTCTGTCACTGTGTGGCATGTTTTCCAGTCTTATAACCATTTTCATAGAATCATAGAATATCAGGGTTGGAAGGGACCTCAGGAGGTCATCTAGTCCAACCCCCTGCTCAAAGCAGGACCTTCTCTTCTCTGAAACCTCTCCATTTTATCAGCGTTCTTGAACTGTGGGCACCAAAACTGGGCACCAAAACTGGGCACACTATTCCAGAAGCAATCACATCAGTGCCAAATACAAACGTAAAATAACTTCTTTATTCCTGCTTGATATTCCCATGTTTCTGCATCCAAGGATTGCATTAGTCCTTGTGGGCACACTGGGAGTTCATATTCAGCTGATTATCCACCTTGACCCCCAAATCTCTTTCAGAGTCACTGCTTCCCAGGATGGAGTCTCCCATGGCCTACATTCTTTGTTCCCAGATGTATACATTTAATTGTATGGAAACGTATATTGTTTGCACCCAGCTTCCCAAGTGATTCAGATCACTCTGTATCAGTGACCTGTCCTCTTCATTATTTACCACTCCCTCAATTTTTCTGTCATCTGCAGACTTTATCAATGATGATTTTAAATTTTCTTCTAGGTTGTCAATAAAAAATGTTATGTAATGTAGGGCCAAGAACTGATCCTTGTAGGACCTCAAGAGAAACACTCCCATTTGATGATGGATCTGGGGGTCATAGTGGATCACAAGCTAAATATGAGTCAACAGTGTAACGCTGTTGCAAAAAAAGCAAACATCATTCTGGGATGTATTAGCAGGAGTATTGTAAGCAAGACACAAGAAGTAATTCTTCCGCTCTACTCCACGCTGATTAGGCCTCAACTGGAGTATTGTTCCAGTTCTGGGTGCCACATTTCAAGAAAGATGTGGACAAATTGGAGAAAGTCCAAAGAAGAGCAACAAAAATGATAAAAGGTGTAGAAAACATGACCTATGAGAGAAGATTGAAAAAAATGGGTTTGTTTAGTTTGGAGAAGAGAAGACTGAGAGGAGACATGATAACAGTTTTCAAGTATATAAAAGGTTGTTACAAGGAGGAGGGAGAAGAATTGTTCTTCTAAGGATAGGACAAGAAGCAATGGGCTTAAATTGCAGCAAGGGAGGTTTAGGTTGGACATTAGGAAAAACTTCCTAACTGTCAGAGAGGTTAAGCACTGGAATAAATTGCCTAGCGAGGTTGTGAAATCTCCATCATTGGGAATTTTTAAGAGCAGGTTGGACAAACACCTGTCAGGGATGGTCTAGATAATACTTAGTCCTGCCTTGAATGCAGGGGATTGGACTAGATGGCCTCTCGAGGGCCCTTCCAGTTCTATGATTCTTTGATTTACAGTTAGCCAGTTTTTAAACTATTTAATGTGTGCTGTGTTAATTTGATCTCTTTCTAGTTTTTTAATCAGAATGTCATGTGGTACCAAGTCAAATGCCCTTTCATCAACACTATTACCTTTTCCATATTTTCCATGAACCCATATTGATTGACATTAATTATGTTACCCTCCTTTAATTCTTTGTTAACTGCGTCCTGTATCAGCCATTGTCAGGAACTGGGACGTGGGCAGTCGGACCTATGGTTGGAGCAGGAGTCAGACCTAGCGGTTGGAGCAGGAGTTGCTGCCAGGAATAGGAGTCCAGGGCCAGAGCCAAGGGTCAGAGTTGAAGTCAGGAATTTGAGCTGAGGGTCAGAGCCGGGTGACCTGGAGTGAGGCAAGGCAGGAATGATCACAGCCTTAGCAAATGCTTTGAGTGCAAGCAAGCTGCTGCTACTGCTGGGCTTAAGAGCAAGCTTGCTGGCTTCTTCAGCCAGTTAAGCAGGTTGTTTTTTCAGGCAGTCTGGCTCATGCAGCCCAGCTCTGTTCATTAGGCTGTCAGGAGACGCGGCAGGCATAGCTGCAGGGCCTTATTCCTGACAGCCACTCCATTACCTTGCCCAAATCGATGTCAGACTGACAGGCCTATAATTATCTGGGTCATCCTGTTTACCCTTTTTAAATATTGGCACAACATTAGCTTTCTTCCAGTCTTCTGGAACTTATTGAAAATCAACATTAATGGTCCACTGAGCTCCTTGGCCAGCTCTTCTAAAACTCTTGAATTCAAGTTATCTGGACAAGCTGATTTAAAAGTGTCTAGCTTTAGCAGCTGCTGTTTAACATTCTCCTGAGATGCTAGTGGAATGGAAAGTATTTCACCATCATTATATGATATGACTACCCTGTTTCCCCAAAAATAAGACAGTGTCTTATATTAATTTTTGCTCCCAAAGATGCGCTAGGTCTTATTTTCAGGGAAGGTCTTATTTTTCCTGGAGCTTCGGGGCCTAATATTCCGGGGTGGCCTTATTATCCGGGAGGTCTTATTTTCGGGGGATGCCTTATATTACAGCGAGAGGCAAAACTGGAAGTAGGTCTTATTTTCGGGGGATGTCTTACTTTCGGGGAAACACGGTACATCATCTGTTTTCCCCTCAAATACAGAACAGAAATATGTACTGAACACTGTTAGAGAAGAGCAAGTTGACCCATATTCTACATTCTATTAGCATATTCTACAGATAGTTTTTACTTTGAAGATACATTTCTTCGCAATAATTGCAGCCATGAATTCCCTTGATCAGCAGTTCACAGGGAAGGGAGGAAGGGGCCATGACCCCGAGCTCGTTTATGTGTCTGGGAAAGGAAGGGAGGGGGAGATATCACTGCTTTACACAAAGAGTATTCTTTAGATCCCCACAGTCCTTATGCTGCTGCAACACTTATCAATCCTTGATAAGGAGAAGGGAAGGGAGAGGGATAGCACTTTATCTATCAAGCGAAGAGACAGTGCTTGCCCCGTCTTCCTCCCTAATACCATACTAGCAGTTACCCAGGTCTTTACTTAACCGTTACATACCCCAACAAACACTTCTCCCTTTTCTGCATTATTGATAATTCTACCATTTCCATCTAGTAATGGACCAATACCATTGTCAGGATTCTTTTTCTTCCTAAATATACTTCAGAAACTCCTTCTTATTCTCTTTAACTCTGCTGGCTATAGATTTCTTCTTGTGTCCCTTTGCTCCATCAATTTTCTACAGTTACTAGCTTTTGATTTATATTCATAATTGTCTGTTCCCTGTTCTTCCATTTGTTATATATTATTTTTTAATTTTTATAGCTGCCTTTGCTTCTCCTCTAAAGCAGGTTGGTTTTTTAACCAATACAGCCTTCTCCCTTGATTGTGGTATTTTGGGCATCTAGTAAAGTGTTCTTAAATAATTCCCAATTATCATTCAGATTTTTCGTATTAAATTCTGCAAACTGATTTGGTTCATAATTGTTTTCAGGTTTGTGAAAATGGCCTTTTTAAAGCACCAAATGTATGTATGTTACTTCTCTGGACTTTATTCTGTTTGCATATTATAAATGTGATCAAGCCATAATCACTTGTACCTAAGCTACCATTAGCTTTTAACTTTCAGTTACCATTAACTTTTAATTCTGTGATCAGTTCCTCTGTGTGTGTCAAGGCAAGGTCTAATATAGAGTTCCCCCATGTTGGATGCAGCGCTTTCTGAGTTAGGAAATTGTCATTTACCATATTTAGAATTTCCAAGGAATGTTTTCTGGTACTGGTAGCATCATACCTCCAACATATATCACTCAAATTGAAGTCCCCCAGGATATAAAGAATTAAATGAGGGTGATATAATTAATCCAATCAACATGGGCTTATGGAAAATAGATCCTGTCAACTGGATGTCATTTTTGCTGAGATTACAAGTTTGGTTGATAAAGATAAGAGTGTTGATGTAATATACTTTGTCTTTTGTAAAGCATTTCACTTGGTACTGCATGGCATTTTGATAAAAAAAACTAGAACAATATAAAATTAACATATGGCAAAAGTATAAGCAACTGAAAACAGGGTCTTATAATGGAAGTGTCGGACAACCTTACTAATAGGAAGTGTTACCAGCCCTGACTGTAATTATATTTGTGTATTTCTTTTTCTGCAGGGGTGATAAGAAGGTGATCTGCAACAAGTTCATTCAGACGGTAAGTCCCAGCCTCCCTTTCAGCTCCCGTATGCTGCAGCGTAAGGGCAAGGCCTACTATAGGTCTTTCCTCTGGCTCTCCGGCACGATGAGCCAGATTGTCAAAAGTATTTAGTTGTCTAAGGATGCAGACAGGTGCCCAGAGGGACTTCCAAAACCATCTTAGGCGGCACCTGTCTGCATCTGTAGGCACCTAATTACTTTTGAAAATCTAGCCCTGTGTGTTTAAGGTCCCGCTCTGGGGGCTCTGCTCTCTTCCTTTGAGACTAAGCTATTGATTCATAAGGCCTGAAGAGACCATTGTGGTTCTCTAGTCTGACCTCCTGGATAACACATGCCGAAGGACTCCTCTGATTTAATTCCTGTTTGCACTGGAGCATATTGTTGAGAAAAATATCCAATCTCGATTTTAAAATTGCCAGTGTTGGAGGATCCACCACAGCGCTTGATAAGTTGTTCCTATGGTTAATTACTCTCACTGTAAAAAATTGCCCATTATTTCGCATCTAAATTCATCTAGCTTCAGTTTCCAGCCATTGGACCTTGTTATACCTTTGCCTGCTAGACTGCAGAGCCTTCTATTATTGGCCAAGCTTATGAGTCCCTATCCCCAACCCAATGGCATTTCTCTGTTTTGGATGTAACACGACAACTTCTGATTGGCATATCTGATCAGTTCCAAAATTCCACGGAATGTTTTAGGCATCAGTGAACAGAACCTGTTGCTTTTGAGGAAAATTGGAAAACCAGAAGGAAAAAATGGGAGACACATGGAGCCCCGGCTATCTGTTTAGCAGAGCCACAGCTTCAAGCACCTCTGCAATTGTCTATAGATCAAAGAACTGATTGAATGGCATCCATTAGCATCTTTCAGCATGACAATACCTCTATTTCATTTCTCCCCATCCTCCCAATACAGTTTAATATGTTGGCACCCTGAAGGACTTATTTGCCAGGCAGAAAGAGGAGAAATAATGTGGGAGAAGAGGTGCACACAGAACCTGTGGCGTGGTGGGGGAGAATGGGGACCCTGGTAAAGGGAATGGGGTCTCACTCAGAGCCCATGGGTTATGGGGTAAAGGGAGGTCCTGGGGAAGTGGGAATTAGGTCACAAACAGCATCCCCGGCTGTGGGGGACAAATGGGGGACCCTGGTATTAAAGGGAAGGGAGCACACACAGAGGCCCTAGTATGAAGGAGGGGATTAGGGCTTGCAGCAAGTCCTTGAAATAGAATGGGATGGGAGGGCATCTGCAATGAGCTCGGTCTAAAGAAGCAATGAAGTGCATGAACCACTAGTCAAATTTGTGTTCCCCATGTAGGTACTTGCAACTGTGATCAAGTCACCCCTTAATCTTCTCTTTGTTAAGCTAAATAGATTGAGCTCCTTGAGTCTGTCACTGTAAGGCATATTTTCCAGTCCTTTAATCATTCTCATGGCCTTTCTCTGAGCCCTCTCCAATTTTTCCACATCCTTCTTGAATTGTGGGCACTGTCGGAGATAGTCCATGCAACAAACCACGATGCCAACTCTGCCCACGTATCTACACCAGCGACACCATCACAGGACCTAACCAGATCAGCCACAACATCACCAGTTCATTCACCTGCACGTCCACCAATGTAATGTACACAATCATGTGCCAGCAATGCCTTTCTGCTATGTACATCGGCCAAACTGGACAGTCCCTGCATAAAAGGATAAATGGACACAAGTCAGATATCAGGAATGGCAATATACAAAAACCTGTAGGAGAACACTTCAACCTCCCTGGACACACAATAGCAGATGTAAAGGTAGCCATCCTGCAGTAAAAAAACTTCAGGACCAGACTTCAAAGAGAAACTGCTGAGCTTCAGTTCATTTGCAAATTTGACACCATCAGCTCAGGATTAAACAAAGACTGTGAATGGCTAGCCAACTACAAAAGCAGTTTCTCCTCCCTTGGTGTTCAAACCTCAACTGCTAGAAGAGGGCCTCATCCTCCCTGATTGAACTAACCTCGTTATCTCTAGACTGATTCTTGCCTGCATATTTATACCTGCCTCTGGAAATTGCCACCACATGCGTCTGACGAAGTGGGTATTCACCCACGAAAGCTTATGCTCCAATACTTCTGTTAGTCCATAAGGTGCCACAGGACTCTTTGTCGCTTTTTACAGATCCAGACTGACACGGCTACCCCTCTGATACTTGACACATACAATTACATTGGAAAAAATAACCCCAACTATACATACAATATGATGGGGGCTAATTTAGCTACAACAAATCAGGAAAAAGATCATAGAGTCATCGTGGATAGTTCTCTGAAGATGTCCACGCAGTGTGCAGAGGCGGTCAAAAAAGCAAACAGGATGTTAGGAATCATTAAAAAGGGGATAGAGAATAAGACAGAGAATATATTATTGCCCTTATATAAATCGATGGTACGCCCACATCTCGAATACTGCGTACAGATGTGGTCTCCTCATCTCAAAAAAGATATACTGGCATTAGAAAAGGTTCAGAAAAGGGCAACTAAAATGATTAGGGGTTTGGAACGGGTCCCATATGAGGAGAGATTAAAGATGCTAGGACTCTTCAGCTTGGAAAAGAGGAGACTAAGGGGGGATATGATAGAGGTATATAAAATTATGAGTGATGTGGAGAAAGTAGATAAGGAAAAGTTATTTACTTATTCCCATAATACAAGAACTAGGGGTCACCAAATGAAATTAATAGGCAGCAGATTTAAAACAAATAAAAGAAAGTTCAGCGCACAGCTCAACTTGTGGAACTCCTTATCTGAGGAGGTTGTGAAGGCTAGGACTATAACAGCGTTTAAAAGAGAACTGGATAAATTCATGGTGGTTAAGTCCATTAATGGCTATTGGCCAGGATGGGTAAGGAATGGTGTCCCTAGCCTCTGTTTGTCAGAGGGTGGAGATAGATGGCAGGAGAGAGATCACTTGATTGTTACCTGTTGGGTTCACTCCCTCTGGGGCACCTGGCATTGGCCACTGTCAGTAGACAGGATACTGGGCTAGATGGACCTTTGGTCTGACCCAGTACGGCCGTTCTTATGTTCTTAATTAGTATCACCTCTAATTCTCTAACAATATAGATTTGCATTTCAACATTCTAGCCCATCTAACATGGAATGGCCCTTGTGACGGGTTCCCACCAGGGTGCCATCTGGAACTGGGGTACCACTGAGCCCCCTGACCCACCAGCCTGGGCTCCCTCTCATACTGTGCTGCTGTGACAAGCTACACAGCCTTCCAGCCTGCACTTTCACCAGCATACATACAGGTAGGGACACACCCAGCTGCAGTTACAAGCAGGCTGTCTGGCCATGCTGTGCATGGGAAAGCTACTCCCAGCTCCTCAGGCATGCACCCACTCTGGAGTATAAACCCAAAATTACACCGTCTTGCACTGCACAGGGAACTGTACAGCATAAGCTCATAAAATTCGCCCCTTCCCTCAATGGGGAGCGGAATATGCAACAGCCTTTTGCCCCTGAGTTATGATTCCCACACACTGGTTTAGATAAAGCAAAAACAAGTTTATTAACTACAAAGGATAGATTTTAAGTGGTAGCAAACAGATCAAAGTAGATTACCTAGCAAATAAACAAAAAACGCAAACTAAACTTAATATACTAAATAGATTGGATATGAATAGCAGATTCTCACCCTAAGAGATGATACAAGCAGGCTGCAGATTCTTACGGGGCAAGCTGTTCTTGCTTACAGCTTGGAATCCCCAGGTGTTCCATTCACAGGCTAAAAATCCAGCACTTCCCCCAGGTCAGTCTTTTTTCCTCAGGTGTTTCCAGGAGTCTTCTTGGGTGGGGAGTGAAGAACACCAGATGATGTCATTCCCTGCCTTATATAGCTTTTGCATATGGCGGGAACCCTTTGTTACAAAGCTTGGTGCCGAGACCGGTCTGTGGAAAAACACTGACATCCCGAGATGGAGTCCAGAGACGTGGTCTCATCACATGTCCTTGTTGAGTCATAGCAGTCATTACTCACAGGCTATTTAGAGCGTTCACAGGAAGGCTCACCGGGTGGGAGGTAAGCTTCTCCTAAGGCCTGTTGTTCTTCCCTAATGGCCCTTGACCACCCACTCTCTAGAATGAAAGCATCTTGTCTAGCGGGCATCAACCAGGTGTAAGTACATTGAAGTACAGATACATAATCAATATTTATAACTTCAGATACAAAAATTATACATGCATATGAATATAGTCATATTCAGCAAATCATAACCTTTTCAATGACATCTCACATGACTTATCTTGCATAAAATACATCATAATTATGTCATAATCATATCCTAATAATATCACTGTGAAGAATATGGGGTGCAGTGTCACAGCCCTTGTCAAGGCTGATTCCCCACTCTGGCACTTGGAGTGCAGAAGGTGGGGGCCTGCAAGGATTTTAAAAATTAATACTGGCCACTCCAGGCTTGTATTAAACTCCCAAGGTTACAGTTTCTCTCTGACCGTGGATTGGTAGATGCTGCCACCACCCAAGTGCAGAACCCCCTTTGAAACCAGAAAGGTGCACTTGGGAATTCCTTCCTGTGGGGTATCCTCAAGCCCTTTCACGCCCCCCCCCTCCGGGGAAAAGCTGAGAAAGAAAAACAAAGGAAATCAGCTGTTGCCACCAGCTAATCAAACAACATATGCACAAACCTCTTAGGACACCAAAAATCCAATCCTGTTCTTAAAAAAGGTAAATTTTATTAAAAACAAAAAGAAAAAAATACACCTGGAATTTAGGCTTTTGCTAGATTTAAAAAACCCACTTACAAAAATTAAACATCGAGAATAACCTTCTTGAGGTCAAGCTTAAAGGTTACAAGCAAAACAAAGCATTTGGGGTTAGCACGGAGGAGTCCACAAACCAATAAGAAATAAACAGAAATAAACCTAATCACGTCTTTCTAGACATTCCCTAATTTACTTACATATCTGGGGTTTCAGATAAACAATCTCTAGGTATGATCTGATGGTTTTTCATACCTGGCTTTCAGCTTCTTACAGCATAACTGCTCCCCGTTCCCCTCTTTCCCGGAGAACAACAACACACAGACAAAGGGAAGATTTTTCCAATTTTAAAAAGTTCTAGCCCTCCCATTGGTTCTTTTGGTCAGGTGCCCACTCCTTTCCTTTTACCTGTGGGCTTGTGTGACGATGTGGTTCTGGCGGAACCCAACTGAGAGTGCCAACTCAGGACAAATTGCTCAAACAGGGCAGTTACAGCCCTAGGCTGGGGTTTTTCCACCTCTAAGGCAAACCAAACCAGCCAGAGTAAGAGGACTTCGGTCTCACCCCACTGGCTAACCGCAAGTCTCACAAGCAATCTCCTAGACACTCCAGTTTCCCAGTATCACCACCAGTGCCACTCGTTATGGGGACAAATGGTTATGAAAACCAGTATCCCAATATACACAAAAAAAGTTCTCTCAATCCCAAAGGACCAAGCCCCAGACCCAGGTCAATATACAACTCAGCTCTTTCCCACAAATCACGCTGTTGCCAATCCTTTAGAATCTAAAATCTAAAGGTTTATTCATAAAGGGAAAAAGATAGAGATGAGAGTTAGAATTGGTTAAATGGAATCAACTACATACAGTAATGGCAACGTTCTTGGTTCAGGCTTGCAGCAGCGATAGAATAAACTGCAGGTTCAAATTAAGTCTCTGGAATACATCCCCCGCTGGGATGGGTCCTCAGTCCTTTGTTCAAAGCTTCAGCTTGTAGCAAAGTTCCTCCAGAGGTATGAAGCAGGATTGAAGACAAGATGGAGATGAGGCATCAGCCTTATATAGTCTTTTCCAGGTGTAAGAACACCTCTTTGTCCTTACTGTGGAAAATTACAGCAAAATGGAGCCTGGAGTCACATGGGCCAGTCCCTGCATACTTTGCTGAGTCTCAAGGCATATTTGCCTTCTCTCAATGGGTCCATTGTATAGCTGATGGTCCTTAATGGGCCATCAAGCAGGCTAGGCAGAGCTAACACCAGCTTGTCTGGGATGTCACCCAGCAGCATAGCATAAGTTTGAAATACAGACAGTATAGAGCCAATATTCATAACTTCAACTACAAAATTGATACACACATATAGACAGCATAATCATATCCGGTAAACCATAACCTTGTCTAAGACACCCCATTTGACCCCCTTTATACAAGATTTTGGTGCCACTACAGGACCTTGGTTGCAACAATGATCTATATGGTCCCAGATTATATCAATAACGTCACAGCTTGTTAACCCTTTACAGGTAAAGCAAGCAGAGAACAACCACCAAGAGGGATTCCATAGCCAACTGGCTGGCTGGGTGTCCACAAAAGGGAGCTATCCCCTGTTTAGATACTTTTCTAACATGTTTCTAAAGGTTGAATGTGGGTCAATTAGCCTGCAAGATGCTTAACCCTTTCTGGCCATGTGTCAGAATGGGTCTATCAGTCCTTTGTTCAAAGCTTCAGTTCGTAGAGAAGTTGCTCCAGTGGCGAGGAGCAGGACTGAAGATAAAATGGAGAAGAGGCAGCTGCCTTTTATATAATTTGTCAGGTGGTGTGTACTTCCTTTGTCCCAAACACAAGCTCACAGCACATGGGCATGGAAAAGCTCTTGGAGTCCCCAGTCCACAGGCATATCCCTACATGTCCTGCTGACTCATAGCTAAGGCTACGATTTAATCGTGGGTATTTTTAGTAAAAGTCATGGACAGGTCACGGGCAAGAAACAAAAAATCACAGCCTATGACCTGTCCATGACTTATACCATAAATATCCTGATTGAATCTTGGGGGGGAGCCCGGGGGGCTTGCGGCACCAGCTGTGGGGTGGGGGAGAAGCCCTGGGGGGGCCCGCTGCTGCTCCAACCTCCGCCAGGGGGAAGCCCTGTGGGGGGCCCGCAGCCGGGGGGGAAAGCCCCATGGGGCTCGCTGCCGCTCTAGCCGCCGCTTGGGGGGAAGCTCTGTGGGGGTCCACTGTTGCTTCAGCTGCTGCACGGGGGGAGCCCCAGGGGGCCAGCAGCAGCTCTCGCTGCCACCAGGAGGGGAGCCCCGGGGGGCCAGCCGCTGCTCTGGCCGCCCCCAGACTGCTGCCAGGAGCCACCGAGCTGTGGCTGCTCCCTGGGCCAGCCACATCGGCTGCAGCTCGTGTGGTCCCCGGAGCCAGCTGCTCGGGCGCCCCTGCGGTCAGCCACACCAGCTGCTGCAGAAGTCACGGAGGTAGCAGGACATCATGGAATCCGTGACAGACACGGAGCCCTACTCATAGCCCTGCCTTCTCTCAGTGGATTCATTGTACGGCTGATTGCCCTTGATGGGCCATTAAGCAGGCTAGGTGGTGCTGATGCCAATCTGTCTGGGGGTGTCACCCAGATACACAGCACAAGTTTAAGATATCAATATCTCACACCTATTTATAACTCATACAAAGATAATACATACATATAAACAAGAGTATCATATTTGACATATTATAACGTTTCCACTGATACCTTATATGGCATTTCTTGTATGACTCATTGGAATTTTGTAATATTGGTATCCATAATATTATAAATGGTCACCCATATTCCATACAGCGTCACAAATGGGCCCAATCCAGGCTCCTCCGTGGGGATTCTCATCTCAGTCCCACTCAGGATTCTGGGTGCTGTCCCGTTAATATCTGCTCCAGGCTCCATGTGCCGATAGCTCTGTGTCGAATTGGAGTGGCATTGCTGCCTGTGGGGCAGGAAGCCTTCTAGCTTGGCTGAGAGCTCTAACTTCTTTGTGCCTTTCCCTGACAGAGCGCAGTGACCTGTTTGCTGTGGCCAGCAGAGAACATCATTGTCTTTGGACTCGCCGAGGGGAAGGTAGAGAAGCCTAATGCTGTCACTGAGTTATGGGCCCCAGACACTGCTCAGCAGTGAAGGGATTATACTGGGGACTTGCTCTACCGCACCAATTCCCTGTGAGTCTCTCACGACTGTGCAGCGTGGCATGAGAGTGAGTTATTAATCCACTACAGCTTCCACTCCTCCCCCACAACCCACCAGAGACCACGGAGCTCCATGTGATTTCTTACCTTGCTGCTTGGCCTAAAGGTGCCAGCCCAGCGTAGAGGAGAGCTCTCCCTCGTTCTGTTTAAAAGCCATCTTGTGCTGCTCCACGAGTGAATCCTTGTTTCTGACATGAGGACAGAGACTGCACTGACCAGTGTCTTTCTCTCCCTCAGGTTCGTTTAGCAAATACAAAGACCAACAAGTCCTCCACCATTTACGGGACAGATTCTTTTGTGGTCTCATTAACCTCCAAGTGAGTATGGTGCTGCCGCAGGCTCCCACTGCCCCAGCTCAGTTTCCTGACCCAGCTGCTGGCTCTGAAGAGTCCTCCTTAGTGCTGATGGGGCAGCGTCATAGGCTCCACTATAAAGATAAATAAGCCCAGAGCCCCCCTCTCTGGGGGTTCCCGGCTTCTGTGTGTTTTACCAATAATACTGTAACATTGCATTATCAGGACATGCCACCCGGACATTATACCCTTCCCTTCCCACCTTCCCCTCCCCATGTCGGTCTGTCTGCTTTGTCTTTACAGAGACTACGAGGTCTCTGGGGCAGCATCCAGACCTTGATATGTGTGTGCCATCGGGCAGATTGTGGGCACTATCAAGAAGTAACTAAGGAGAAACAGTGGGCTACCATTGACTCCTGCAACCCCATGAGAATCCGATCTGCTGGGGATGGGAGGGAAAAGTGGGACCATGAGTGCTGCTGTGACTCTATGCCGACTTGTCCTGGTGTCTCTTGACAGTGTCTCTGGGAAGGGGATCCTGTCTGGCCATGCAGATGGAACCATTGTGCGCTACTTCTTTGATGACGAAGGCTCAGGTGAATCACAGGTACTGAATGGCTCTTTGGAAAAGACTCCCTCTTGCACACATCCTTCCTCCCCAGTCACACCAGGCCTGGAGAGTACCTGGGACCTGTGGAAGGGAGGGCCGGTCAGAGGAGGGGCAGCAGATTGCTCTCATCACTGCGTGGCTAATGGAGCACTGAATAAACCATGGAAGGGTGTCTAGATCTAGAATTTGTGTGGGTAGGGGAATTACCCCAGTGCCTGTGAGACCCAAGGCTATCCACATCTCCGTGGGGCCCAGGAGAGCAGCGCTCAAGTTGTGAGAGCTGTGGGGTATGTGTATTGCCTTCTTCCCACTGCCCCCTGGTGTATTCTTCATAGTTACACCAACAGATTTTAACCGGAGATTTCCATTTGTAATTATCACCTGGGGTTTCCTCCTGAGAAGGCTTGAGACCAAACAGTCCTAAGCCAAGCTTTTCAAGCTATCCATAGTGGACAGGAGGGTGGAAGAGTACTCGTTATTCCAGCAGCCACTCAAAGCAGCATTTTAATTGCAGTAACAGGAAGAGTAAGTGAACAGCTTTAGTGGCTGATCCTCCTTCACAACGTGCCACAGGGGCAAAGTCATCTTGTGTCCTCATCCCAAATTCTTGCTGGATGTGGTGTCTGAGTGCCACCTAGCCAGACCAGTCATCTTCCAATGCTCTTCCCAAAACCTCATTCTGATCATGGAAAGCTGGACCCCATGGCCTTGGTCAGGAAAGGAAATGCCATTTCCACTCGGCCCTTCCCTCTCTAGCTGGAGTAGGTAGTGCGTATATGTTACCCAGGGTGACAGAACCTGATGGTCTTAGAGATCATTCTGCCAGGGCGAAGGTGTACTGAGTCCACGGCCTGTCATACTGACACTACTACTAATTATAATTATAATAGTCCTGCCTCTGTAATCTTTCTGTTACAGAAATCTGCAGAGCTGCTACCGGGAGTTCTTTCACACGTACTCAGTGCTGCTGTAGCATGACATCTAGATCTGATATTTGCTCTGGGGGAGCAGATCTGCAATCTGTGTTTGACTAGGACTTGCTGGCTTCCCACAAGTGGGAATATGCAGAGGCGACTTTAGAGAACTGTTTGGTTCCCCATGCATTGCCACTGCATATTCTACTCCTGGTGGAATTCTGCGCCAAAAAAAGAAAAATTCTGTGCACAATATTTTAAAATTCTGCATATTTTATTTGTCAAAATAACACAATATAATCACACCAGTTTCAATTATTTTTGGTCATTTATTTCAAAATACCTGTCACCAAGTATGTCTGTAACAATACAGACAACAAAAAAGATTCAGGAAATATTTTTTGACAAATAGATTCCTTACTAGGCATATTAATATATAACGCTGAGTAATAATTCATTTTAACTATAGTACAGAACCCTATTTCCCGCACCCCTCAGAAGCAGTGCAAAGGCTGGGGGGAGTCAGGGGTAATGGAGGAGCTGAGGGAGAGGGAAGTAAATTGCTGGGAAGGATCCTGGGTGTGAACTTGGAGGGTTGTTGGGAATGGGCGGGAAAAGTATGGAACAGGTTTTTGGGTGGAGGGGTGGGGAGGGATTGTTAGGGAGCTTACCCCATACAGACCCTGGCTGACCCCCTAGCCTCTCCCATTCAGTCAGGCACATCTGCCCCCGTCCCCATGTGTCTCTGGGCCCCCACCTAGCCACTCCCCTGTCCCTGTGTAGCTCTGTACCTCCCTCCCCCCATGCCACTTTTCCACTCCCATTCAGCCTCTGCCCCAGTCTGTCTTCCCCCACTAGCCCCTATGAGCCCCTGTCTGACCCCTCCAGCACCCCACGCTGTCTGTCTCCCCATAGCCCCTGTCTCCTGACCTGGTCTGACAAGCTCTGCGAAGAAGGCAGCTCTCTCTTTTCCCTTGCTGGCTCTGAGCTGCAGCGTCGTTCTGTTGCCACAACGCCCTCTGGTGGGCAAAAGGCAGAACTGCAGCAACATTTCGGCAGAAGCTTTTTTCTGTGCAAAAAATTAGAAATCTGCAGGGCTCATTAATTATGCAAGCGCGCAGTAGCGCAAAATTCCCCCAAGAGTAATATTCTTGCTACTCCCCTCCTGCTGCCTTCCCCTCTTCCTTGGAGGGCTGCTCTCATGAGGCACTTGGCTTTAGCAAGAGGAACTGAGGCAGCTGACCCTCTTGCAGCCTCAGTTTCGAATAGCTGTTGCCACATGAGATTGGTTGTGCAGCCCCAACAGGCACTGCTTCCCAGGAGGTGCATCCCATGAGTGTATCTGTGCAGAGGCAACACTGTACACAAGAACCAGGGGGCACCGAGTGAAAGCGAAAGGTGGGAATTCAAAATGGGTAAAGGGAAATACTTTTTCACACAACATGTAATTAGATTGTGGAACTCACAGGAAGTTTTTTGAGGCCAAGAACTTAACAAGATTCAAAAAGGGGTTGGATGTTTATATGGCTAGCAAGAATACGCAGAACTGTCATAATGAACGCTAACCAAATTCTGGCGGGGATGTTCAACCTCTTTCAGGGCTTAAGCTGATCTCTAACTACGCGGGTCTGTCTGCACTGCAGCCTGGGGTGTAATTTTTGGCTCGGGTAGACATACCCTTGTTCACTTTGATCGAACTAGTGTGCTAAAGATAGCAGTGCAGCCATGGCTACATGTGTGGAGGCAGAAGCTAGCTGCATGAGTACAGTTCTGCCCAAACCCCTAGGTACATACTTGAGTGTCTAGCCCGTGCCACTGCCCTTGTAGTTATGGCTATGCTGCTGTTTTTAGTGTGCTAGCTCGATCAAACTAGTGTGGGTAAGTCTGCCTAGGCTGAAAATTACACTCCCAACTGCAGTGTAGACGTACCCAGAGAGACCTAATGTGGGGGACAGATTATTCTACATCGGCTACTGCAGGGTTCGTTTACCTTTCCTGGGCTAGATCCAGTCTGGCAGTTCCAGTGTTCCTAGAAAACCACAGTCACCATGGTAAATAATGAGGTTTGGCATGTGGGTGTGGGGTGCATCTTCTCTTTCCCTGCCCCTGGGGACTGCAGCAGGGGTGACAGAAGATTTTAGGGGGCTTGAACTCCTGTTACTATTATTATTGGTAGTAATAATTCCTGGTCCCAGCAACTTAAGAAGAGCACCCAGGCTCCCCTTTATGCCCCAGCCCAGCATCCAGCCCTGTGATCCATGCAATCAGGGTGTTTTTGTTGCCAGGATCAGCAGTGAAATATTGGCTGAGCAAAGTGAGGTCAACTTGATGGCTTTTTTGTTTGTTTTTCTGTCTGTCTTTTGGTAGAAGCGATGACGTGTGCAACACTGTAGTTAACAGTGTCGACATTTAAATTGTCAACAGTAGAGTTCAGAGTTTACACACATTCATAGAATCATAGAATATCAGGGTTGGAAGGGACCTCAGGAGGTCATCTAGTCCAACCCCCTGCTCAAAGCAGGACCAATTCCCAACTAAATCATCCCAGCCAGGGCTTTGTCAAGTCTGACCTTAAAAACCTCTCAGGAAGGAGATTCCATCACCTCCCTAGGTAACCCATTCCAGTGCTTCACCACCCTCCTAGTGAAAAAGTTTTTCCTAATATCCAACCTAAACCTCCCCCACTGCAACTTGAGACCATTACTCCTTGTTCTGTCATTAAGGTGATGGAGCAGCTCATTCCTCTCAGAGCTCTGGTTTCAGGCTGTTTCTGTGGCAACTTTGGCAGTCAGCCCTAGAAACCCTCTAGAAACATACTTTTTAAATAAGCTCGCAGGGGGCTTTGTACCTGGTCTGCTCAGTCTGCTGCCGCTGCTGCTGCTCTGTTCAGGACTTTCTGTCTTGTTTATTGTAGGGTAAATTGGTGACGCACCCCTGCCCTCCATATGCCCTCACCTGGGCTTCCAGCAGTGTCGTGGCTGCAGGCTGCGATAAGAAGATTATAGCTTATGGAAAGGAAGGCCACATAATTCAAACCTTTGATTATAGCCGGGACCCCTTGGAGAAGGAGTTCACCACAGCAGTCACTAGCCCCGGGGGCCAGTCAGTCGTCATTGGCAGCTACGACAGGTATGGTGCCTAATGGCTGGGCCTTTCCTTTAGAACGACCTTCCTCGCCTGCGGCTTGTAGTTTTTCAAGGTCACTGCTTCATCTCTTCCCACAGGCTGAGGGTGTTGAACTGGAGCCCCCGCAGGAGTGCCTGGGAGGAAGCCAAACCCAAAGAAATCGCACACCTTTACACGATCACAGCCTTAGCATGGAAGAGGGATGGCTCGAGGCTCTGTGCGGTGCGTACCATGAAAGGATAGCCTCAAGACTTCTCCAGAGCCACCCTGAGGTGTCCTGGAGTGACAGTCCTGCCTGCTGCATGGCGGAGTCTGATGTGTGTCCCTACAGTCAACAAGACGTGGCACTGGGAGGGCCAGCCAGAGATGAAGGGGGAGGAGGGATGGGACCTAGAAACGCAAGGAGGAGGGGTGGGCTGGAATCTAGGGTGGGAAAGAAGTTGCTGCAGTCTGGTATGTGCCATTTCTCAAACTCATACGACTCTCATCACAAGGGATGGTTCAGCAGCAGCAGGGAAAATAACAGAAGGGGTTTGGCCTGGCCTTCCCAAATGCAGCCTGCCCTCTGTCTCCCCTAGCTCCTGGCGGGGTGGGGAGGAGCTGAGCTGGCATTAACCCCTTGTATTCCAGGGACCAGAGAGTGCCCCTGTCTCTGCCTTGGGGATTCTGTTCAAAATTATCCCAGGCTGAAAGTCCCCTGGGCAAAAGATGTGCCCTACAAGGCTGTTCCTTGCTTCCCCTTACACATTTAAGACCTTGGTCTTTCAAACAAACCTGGTTTCATTCTGTGATAAGATTAGAAGTTTGGTTAATAAGGATAACTGAGTCGATATAATATACTGAGACTATGAAAAAGCATTTGGCTTAGTACTGCATGACATTCTGATTTAAAAAATGAGTACATGTTAATGGATTAAGAACTGGCTGACAGACCTCACAAAGTAGTTGTCAATGGGGAATCCATCATTAAATGGCGGTGTTTCAAGCGGGATTCCACAGGGATCGTACTAGGCCTGACACTATTCTACATTTTCTTCAATGATTTGACAGTAAATATAAAATCACTGCTGATCAAATTTGTGGTGACACAAAGATTGGTGGAATGGTAAATAACTGTGAGGACAGGGCAGTCATACAGAGCAGTCAGGATAGCTGGTAAGCTGGGCCCATTCAACCAAATGTGTTTTTAATGTAGCCAAATAGAAGTTCAGACATCTAGGAAGAAGGAATGTAGGCCATACCTGTAGAATAGAGACTCTATCCTGGAAAGCAGTGACTCTGAAAGGGATCTAGGGATCATATTGGACAGACAGTTCAACATGAGCGCCCAGAGCAACGTGCTAGCGAAAAACGCTAATGTGATCCTTGGATAGATAAGCAGGGGAGTAGTGAGTATGAGTCGAGAGGAGATTTTACCTGTGTATACGGCATTGGTGAGCCCAGTACTGGAATATTCGTGCAGTTCTGATATCCACTTTTTAAGAAGGATGTTGAAAAATTGGAGAGGGTGCAGAAAAGAGCTACAAAGATTATTCAAGGGCTGGAGCAAATGTCTTACCGGGAGAGAGCTTCATCTGTTTAGTTTATCGAAAAGCAGCCTGAGGAGTGACTTGATTACAGTATCTAAGGACCTTCACTTGCTGCACTCTACCTGCCTTTTGTTTGCTCCCCAGGGCACCCTTTGTGGAGGGGTGGAGCAGTTTGATTGCTGCCTGCGCAGGAGCATTTACAAGAATAAATTTGAAATGACATATGTGGGGCCGAGCCAGGTAAGCAGTTCATAGCCTGTGTGAAGCGGGTGTCTGTGAGTGAAGCTGTGATAATCAGTCACCTGGCATGCTTGGAGTCCTCAGTACTGTCTGCTACTCTCCTGTCTCACCCAGGTCTGCCTCCCCAGCCCGCTCCCGGTCCCCAGACCCTCCTGTAGACTCCCTGCAGCCTGCTGTGATGGGTCTCATAAGCTCTCACAGCTGGGCTCCTGCTTACACCCATCCCCAATAAAACATTGGCTGTGTTTAAAAAATTCTGTTCAAAAGAGTTAACATTAAAAAGTAAAACACCCAAACATTAAAAAGTCTGGAAATGGAATCTAGCCTCTCTCCTTGCCCTCCTGCCCACTCCACGCCAAACTTTGGCCCCTAAAATTTGGAAAATATACACAGAAGTCAACACAGTACATTACCAGGCAAGGGTAAAATCCCATTGCTAGCCAAGGGATCCATCTCCATCGGTTTGCTGGGAAATGTGTATGTTTTTGCATATTTTAGGAACAAGATTCAGTGTGGGTGAGTGGTGGAGGGCAGCTGGGATGACAGACCTGGTGTCAGTTCCTGGCTCTAACATAGGCTCATTGTGTGCCCTTGAACAAGTCACTCAGTCTCCTTGTGCCATAGCTCCCCATGGGTACAATGGGTGTGTGTGTGAGGGTAATGCTCCCTTTCCTGCAGGGGTGCTGTGTTTGCGAGGGGCTGGGGCATAGAACTACCTAGACAGATAGACATGTACCTTCCTTAGGGCGAGGGCTCTTGTGTTGTGCTCCTGTAGGGGCCAGCCAGCTTCCTTACCTCTCGCCCTGGTCTCTCCAGGTCATTGTGAAGAACCTCTCCACAGGAACCCGAGTGGTGCTGAAATCCCACTATGGCTATGAGATTGATGAGGTGAAGATTTTGGGGAAGGAGAGGTACCTTGTGGCCCATACCTCAGATACACTGCTGCTGGGGGATCTCAACTCCAACAAGCTCAGTGAGGTACTGGAAATCGCTGCAGGACCATGGGGTTGACCTGGTGTCTCTGGATTCCCAGGCAGACGCACTGGTGTCTGAATAGTGTGTTGGTTAGTGGTTTTAATAAGTTGGAGGGGACTGGTTAGCTGAGAGAATTGGTAGTGGGATCTGGGGCCTGTTCTGTTAATTTAGATGGACTAAATGGGCTAAGCATTTGAAATTTAAAGTATTAGATAAAGCTTTCATTTTAACAGCATCCCTTGTTCCCTTGCCCTTTAGCTGGAGACAGTTTTTAGATGGAAAATTCCCCAGCTGTTTGACCATCTCTTAGATGGTATGGACCATGGTAATAACTGTCATCCCACATGGTGTCTGGGATTCAGCTGGGGCTGGTGGAGGTGGCAATGTCATCTGGTTCCCCCACCCCCATCCCTGGCCTGTTCTGGCCAGGACACCTCACGGGATCAGGATGATGAAGGCCGGGGTCTCAGGAAACGGCCGGAGTGGCAGCCGTGATGGTGAAGCTCGCTCCAGTAGCGTCTGTCTGTTCTTTCCAGCTGTTCTTTTTGTTCTTTCCAGACTTTCCCCACCAAATCATTTTCTTTTAAGGACACAGAAAGGGAGTGATTGCTATTGTGTCTCCCTTTCATATTGTCTCCCTTAATATTTGTTGTTATAGGTTATTGTAACATCTTACAAACTTTACATGCTTTTTACAGTTGAGCCGACAGTCGGGGTAAATGTGTAGGCCCAGTTGGCATGACGGGTCTTTACTCTCTTGGAGGCCTTGGTTCCAATCTAGTAAGGAGACCAAGCCCAGGGGCAGGATTTGTGACTTCTCTATTAACGTGTTCAGCTTGTGTGTTTGTCTGGGCTGTGTATGTTATAAGCTCTGCAGGGTAGCATCCGTGTCTCCTTATGCGCTTGTGCAGTATCCAGCACATTGTGGGTGCTATGCAATATATACAGTGAAAATAATTATAGTATATGCTCCCTAATAGCAACCCTGATATTAATGACTTCCTGCTAATAACAACATTTTGCCAGGAACCAGTCCCATTCAATTGACTTTAATAGGATTCAAGGCTCTTAAGCAAAGTGAGCGGTCATGGGATAAGAGGGAAGGTCCTCTCACAGATCAGTAACTGGTTAAAAAACAGGAAACAAAGGGCAGGACTGAATGGTCAGTTTGCCCAGTGGAAAGAGGTAAATAGTTGGGTCCCCCAAGGATCTGCCCTGGGACCAGCGCTGTTCAACATATTAATAAATGATCTGGAAAAAGGGGTAAACAGTGAGGTGGCAAAGTTTGCAGATGATACAAAATTACTCCGGATAGTTAAGTCCAAAGCAGACTGCGAAGAGTTACAAAGGGATCTCACAAAACTGGGTGACTGGGCAACAAAATGTCAGATGAAATTCAGTGTTGATAAATACAAAGTAATGCACATTGAAAAACATAGTCCCCAACTATAAATACGAAGTAATAGGGTCTAAATTAGCTCTTACCACTCAAGAAAGATCTTGAAGTCATCATGGATAGTTCTCTGAAAACATCTGCTCGATGTGCTGCGGCGGTCAAAAAAGCTAACAGAATGTTGGGAACCATTAGGAAAGGGATAGATAATAAGACAGAAAATATCATAATGCCACTGTATAAATCCATGGTACGCCCACACCTTGAATACTGCATGTACTTCTGGGTGCCCCATCTCAAAAAAGGAATATTAGATTTGGAAAAAGATCCGAGAAGGGCAACAAAAATGATTAGGGGTATAAACCAGCTTCCATATGAGGACAGGTTAAAAAGACTGGGGCCGTTTAGCTTAGAAAAGTGATAACTAAGGGGGGATATGATAGAGGTCTATAAAATCATAGAATCATAGAATATCAGGGTTGGAAGGGACCTCAGGAGGTCATCTAGTCCAACCCCCTGCTCAAAGCAGGACCAATTCCCAACTAAATCATGACTGCTGTGGTGAAAGTGAATAAGGAAGTGTCATTTACCCCTGCACATAACACAAGAATTAGGGGTCACCTAATGAAATTATTAGGCAGCAGGTTTAAAACAAACAAAAGGAAGTTCTTCTTCACACAATGCACAGTCAACCTGTGGAACTCATTGTCTGGAGATGTTGTAAAGGCCAGACAGGGAAACTGCAGCTGATACTGTGCAAACAGAGGGTGCACCCACTGTCTCAGTAGGCTCAGCTGACTAGTAGCAGACTACTGATTGGTCACCAATTAAATCTTCCTGTTCCTGCCACACCCCTTGTCTGAGCAACTGGTAGCTGGGCCTGCTGCTGACCAGACCCCAGAAACTAAGTTCCTGCCTTCTCACCTGGTCCCTGCTCCTTGTTCCTGTTACCTCACCTCATTCCGTGTTGTGCTCCCTTGCCCTAACTCCAATTACTGACTCTGGCTGTGACTCCTGACCCCAACACTACTCTGGGTTCCAACTCAGGCTGTTTGCATGGAAGGCACCAGGCTTGTCTGTGCTGCTGCAGAGCGTGGGAGGAGGTTAGTTCCACAGAGCCAAATAGCAGTGAGATTTCAGAACCCAAGCCAGATGCAACAATCGAGATGAAGTCAGAGCTGAAATGCTTCTGCTGCTTTGATCGCTAGCTGGAATCCCATCTCGCTGCCCCCAGATCCCGTGGTGCCTGCAGCTTAAGATTCCTGCAGTGCAGTGACAGGGGCAAAAGGACCACCAGTGCAGCGCTCATTCACTCCACACCCTTGTGTTGCAGGTGGCCTGGCAAGGATCCGGAGGGAACGAGAAGTTTTTCTTTGACAATGAGAACGTGAGTTGGATTGGGTGAAACTCTTCCCCCTCCTGGCTGAATACACTATTCACAAACTGCAAACATGAAGTCTGTCCCCTGGGGTGGCCCATTTCTTTGCCATGCCTCATGCTATCCACCCAACTCCTGCAGCCTGTGGCCTGCTCCCTACCCTGCCCATGTTTCAGGGAGCAGAACAAACCTTTGGTATGAGAGCTGCATGGGCAGTGTTTCCACAATGGAGGGGTGGAAACACTGCCCTGGCATCAGAGTGGATGGCAGAGGAGGAAGACACTGGGAGGAAAGTAGACATACAGAGAGCAGACATGTGACTTACTAGGGGGGAATCCTGCTCCACCTGGCAGGGCTGAGAGGCCTGGAGGAGTCGGCTTACTAGCTTACAGCCTGGCTCCTACAGCACAAGAAACCTCAGCCCATTGGTACTGATTAGTGGCAGTCACAGCAGTGAGACCAAGGATGGAATGAGCTCCAGAGTCTGAGCTCTCCCCCTGGCCCTAGAGGGTGAATCCAGGTCAGGAGGCAGGGCATCCCTTCCACAAACCCAGCTAGTACCTGTGCCCCTCCACTGAGACCTTCCTCTCACACTGCCTGCTGTAAGAGTCCTGTCTTCTGTCTCCCTACAGGTCTGCATGATCTTCAATGCCGGAGAGCTGACTTTGGTGGAATATGGAAGCAATGAAATTCTGGGATCTGTCCGCACAGAGTTTATGAACCCTCATCTCATCAGGTAAGTGTCGCACCCCTCCTTATCCCCACCACAGGCACTGCCTTGAGACTGCAGGGGACTGATCGGGGGCCATCACATCCCAAATTGTCCCCATTGCATGGGTCCTAGCCCTGAGACACAATGAGACCCATGTTGTTCCTGAATGGTCTCTGAGGCTTAGCCTGCACTTAAAAGTTAGGTTGAGGTGGCTACATTGGTCAGATGTGAAAAATCTTACATCTCTGACTGACATAGCTATGCCAACTTAAGTAGTGTAGTGTAGACACCCTCAGTAAATCTGCTGCCTGTGGACACTGTTATGGCTAGTGGGGGCACAGTTGTTATAGGAGGACAGACGTACATTTGTCACATGCACTTTTGTGCATGACTCTGATGTTCCTCTTTCTGAAGCAGGACCCCTAACTCACACCTGGAGGCCAGCTGGTCTGACTGGCACTAAATGGAAGGTCTCAATGCCACTGAGTCTTGCTCTATCCCTAAAAAAATCTGTTCTTCACTTCTCTCTCCTTCGCAACTGGCCTCTTGTTGAATATTGAAAGGCCATTGCAGAGAAACGAATGAATTTTTTGCATCAGTCTTCATGGTTGAAGATGTGAGGGAGATTCCCAAACCTGAGCCATTCTTCTTAGGTGACAAATCTGAGGAACTGTCCCAGATTGAGGTGTCAGTAGAGGAGGTTTTGGAACAAATTGATAAATTAAACCATAATAAGTCTCCAGGACCAGATGGTATCACCCAAGAGTTCTGAAGGAACTCAAATGTGAAATTGCAGAACTCCTAACTGTAGTTTGTAAACCATCATTTAAATCAGCTTCTGTACCAGATGACTGGAGGATAGCTAATGTGACGCTAATTTTTAAAAAGGGCTCCAGAGGTGATCCTGGCAATTATAGGCCAGTAAGCCTGATTTCAGTACCAGGCAAACTGCTTGAAACTATAGTAAAGAGCAGAATTGTCAAGCTGTCATGGGATAAGAGGGAAGGTTCTCTCATTGATTGGTAACTGGTTAAAAGATAGGAAACAAAGGGTAGGAATAAATGGTCAATTTTTAGAATGGAGAGAGGTAAATAGTGGTGTCTCCCAGGGATATGTACTGGGACCAGTACTATTTAACATATTCATAAATGATCTGAAAAAAGGGGTAAACAGTGAGGTGGAAAAATTTGCAGATGATACAAACTACTCAAGATAGTTACGTCCAAAGCAGACTGCAAAGAGCTACAAAGGCGTTCACAAAACTGGGTGTCTGGGCAACAAAATTGCAGGTGAAATTCAGTGTTGCTAAATGCAAAGTAATGCACATTGGAAAACATAATTCCAACTATACATATAAAATGATGGGGTCTAAATTAGCTGTTACCACTCAAGAGAGAGATCTTATGGTATGTCTACACTACGAAATTAGGTCGATTTAATAGAAGTCAATTTTTTAGAAATCGATTTGATACAGTTGATTGTGTGTGTCCCCACTAAGCGCATTAAGTCGGGGGTGTGCATCCACAGTACCGCAGCTAGCGTCGACTTTCGGAGCATTGCACTGTGGTAGCTATCCCACAGTTCCCGCAGTCTCCACCGCCCATTGGAATTCTGGGTTGAGCTCCCAATGCCTGATGGGGCAAAAACATTGTCGCAGGTGGTTCTGGGTACATGTCGTCAGGCCCCCCCTCTCTCCCTCCCTCCCTCCGTGAAAGTAACGGCAAAAAATTGTTTCTCGCCTTTTTTCCTGGGTTACCCATGCAGACGACATACCACGGCAAGCATGGAGCCCACTCAGCTCACTGTCACCATATGTCTCCTGGGTGCTGTTGGCAGACACGGTACTGCAGTGCTACACAGCAGCATCCCCTTGCCTTGCCTTGCCTTGCGGACGGCAGACGGTGCAATATGACTGCTAACCGTCGTCATCGTCCCGTGGGTGCTCCCGGCCGACCTCGGTTAGGTTGGTCGGGGGCACCTGGGCAGACGTGGGTGCTCCTGGCCGGCCTCGGTGAGGTCGGTCGGGGGCGCCTGGACCAAAATGGGAATGACTCCAGGTCATTCTCTTCTTTAAGTTTTGTCTAATGGAGATTCAGTCCTGCCTGGAATATCATGCCAGCTGGAGGCTTCTGCCTCAGGCTGCTCTCCCAGTCGGCAGCACCACGTGGTCACACCTACCCCACCACCTACCTTTGCTCCCATGGCTCATGAAACCTGGACAGTAGTAAGGAGCAGTTCAACTGAGCAAGTGCAGAATGGTGGTAGAAGGAGCCTTTGGATGTTTAAAAGCCCGCTGGCGTAGTTTACTGACTCGGTTAGACCTCAGTGAAACCAATATTCCCATCGTTATTACTGCTTGCTGTGTGCTCCACAATATCTGTGAGAGTAAGGGGGAGACGTTTATGGCGGGGTGGGAGGCTGAGGCAAATTGCCTGGCCGCTGATTACGCGCAGCCAGACACCAGGGCAGTTAGAAGAGCACAGCAGGGCGCGCTGCGCATCAGAGAAGCTTTGAAAACCAGTTTCATGACTGGCCAGGCTACGGTGTGAAAGTTCTGTTTGTTTCTCCTTGATGAAAACCCGCCCCCTTGGTTCACTCTACTTCCCTGTAAGCCAACCGCCCTCCCCTCCCCCCTTTGATCTCCGCTTGCAGAGGCAATAAAGTCATTGTTGTTTCAAATTCATGCATTCTTTATTAATTTGTCACACAAATGGGGGGATAACTGCCAAGGTAGCCCGGGAGGGGTGGGGGAGGAGGGAAGCACAGGGGTGGGATAGTTGTAGGGGCATCCCCTAGAATGGCATGCAGCTCATCATAGAAGCGGCATGTCTGGGGCTCTGACCCGGAGCAGCCGTTTGCCTCTCTGGTTCTTTGGTAGGCTTGCCCGAGCTCCTTAAGTTTCACGCGGCACTGCTGTGGGTCCCTGTTATAACTTCTGTCCTTCATGCCCTTGGAGATTTTTTCAAATATTCCGGCATTTCGTCTTTTGGAACGGAGTTCGGATAGCACAGATTCATCTCCCCATACAGCGATCAGATGCAGTACCTCCCGTTCGGTCCATGCTGGAGCTCTTTTGTGATTCTGGGACTCCATGGTCACCTGTGCTGATGAGCTCTGCATGGTTACCTGTGCTGATCAGCTCGCCACGCTGGCCAAACAGGAAATGAAATTCAAAAGTTCGCGGGGTTTTTCCTGTCTACCTGGCCAGTGCATCTGAGTTGAGAGTGCTGTCCAGAGCGGCCACAATGGAGCATTCTGGGATAGCTCCCGGAGGCCAATACTGTCGAATTGCATCCACACTACCCCAAATTCAACCCAGCAGGGTCGATTTCAGCTCTAATCCCCTCGTCAGGGAGGAGTACAGAAATCGATTTTAAGAGTCCTTTAAGTCGACAAAAATGGCTTCGTAGTGTGGACGGTGTTAGGGGGCTTATTCCTTTACCCTCTTACTTCCCTGGTCCTTCTTGCATGAACAGAGAGCAACAATACCCGAAGTCCAAAGGCGCAAACAATTCGATGTTTATTGGGGTGAATTTCCAGCAAGCATGATTCCAGTTTCCTTCCTTAGTGTCCCCCTTCCCAGCTCTGACACCACAGAGCCATCCTTGTTCCCATTCCCTGTTCCCATTCCCCCCTTAGCAAAACATGATCCCAGTTCCCCCACCCCCAGTCCCTGTTCCCATTCCCCCCCCCCTACTTCCTGATTGACTGCAGACTATATAGTTAGGCCTTGGCTACACTGG